GGGGGACGGGCGGGGGGGGTGATTCAAAAGGGTCCACACACTCTCTGAGGCCACAAACCGTTAGCCCACGTGGAGTTCCACTGGCACGAATGGAGTGGACCCGTTCACATGGAGCTCACTGGGGTTTGATTTGACAAAGATCGTAGACAAAACCAAACGATCGGGCCACGCTAACAAACCAGTCATAAAAATAAAAACAAAAAATTTAAAATTTCACCCCAGAGTATTCGGTTTTTCAGTATCTTCTTCTTTTTACTCTCTGTAGCCCATAATCAGGGCGACCTCTACATGAAATATTTATCAGTCGTAAATAGAGCCAGTAGGTGGCAGTAATGACACTTAAAAGACTTAGAACTTCTGCTAAAGACCAAAAAATAAAAAAGCGAGGCCGCAGGTCCTTAGATCGACTTTCAAAGTAAACACAAGATGCTAAGCGCTAACGTAACTTTTATACACCCCGTGCCATTTACAAGCTACGTGCTAGGCGGCTAATGCTGTCGTCATCCTGTATCCAGCGGACGGTCGTCAGCAGTCGTTCAGCGGTTGTTACTGTTTTTCTTTGTTTCTTTGACGAAACATCGCAACAAATGTGTCGGAAAAAAAACAAAGTCGAAAAAAGATAAGGACGAGAAAATGTCATGACATCATCTGCGAGTCCGGAAGTTTCCGTCAGCGTTGGACTCATGTCGTTTCTGAGACTCAGTTCTGACTGGAGTCAAACCGGAGTTGGTGTCGGTCCGCGTACGGAACCAGAACTAGAACCAAGAACCGATCAGAAACACCACCAGTGTCAGGGAGTCTCGTCCAATCAAAGACCTGATGATAAATAATGATCACCGTTATCTTCCGCTTTTCCATTTGTGACAGATCCATTTTTCAAGCCTAGGGTTCGGGGGTGGGGGGGGCAAGGGGGTGGAATCACTATGGAGACAAACCCCACAGCACGTTAGCGGCGTCCAACCATGACAGTGTTACTTGTCATAGCTGTCATGGCTGAAATAGGTTCGTACAACCCGTCGTCATGGTGACCACCCTGAATCAACCCTGAATAATCACGTAGAGACAGAATCCTGAAAAAAACAAATCTTTGCAAATTTCTGTACACGCCCGCCGCTGACCTCCGGTGACCCGGAACAGCCATATTGGATCTCACAAACGTCAGAGACTTCACACAGACTCACTGTCCAGTACGAAAGTGACACGTTTGAATGTTTACACTACACCACATGTCGTTAACCGATAGGGATGTAACGATACGTCAAGAATTGACGAATAGCATCGATTTAAAAAAAAAAAAGAAATCGCTGGTCGTACCATGACATTACACACTCCAGTACAGTAGGTGGCAGTATTTACTAATAACATTGGTCATAACCCACTGTTAAACCCAGACGTCAGGTTCCTACGTAGGCTAGGAGACGTTCAGGTGTCGGAACAGAACGTGGGAAGAACTTGTTCTTTCCACTTCCTGTTTTTTCTCTTCTTCTTCTGTTGTTGTTGTTTCATATATTGACAGTCAACCAGGTCAACCAGAACAGTGTCAGTTGACTAGGTTCACAGACCATTTCAGTCGGTGATGGGATTTGACCCAGTTCTGACGGAGAGAGGAGGTCAGTGTCGTTGTTGTTGTCGTCGTCGTCGTATCCTGATCGTTACATTCTCTAAAAATTTCATTCAAACCTTTGAAGCTAGCCCTCATCCCTGACCCTAACGCACTTCAGTTGATCACTTAACCCCCCCCCCCCCCCCGGGGGGGGGGGGGATACCAACAGGAATGTCAGAGAGAACGAACTTCTTTACAGATTATCGGAAACCGCGATTACACACACACATGCACGACTCACTGTTTTGGAGTCCAACTCGTGCCTGGTTTGGGCCAAAACTTTGTCCACGCCGGCCTGGTCAACAAAGGTGACAAATCCGAACCCTCTGCAGACGTCAGAGAAGGGTGGCAAAGGGGACGGGGGGGGAGGATGGAGGGGGGACATGTAATGATATGTTATGAGCCGTAGAGGAATCATGGAGGTCGTATAAATTTTCAGGTCGCAGGGCTCCCTCACCTTGAGCGTTTGGTAACCGGATCTCTCATCACCATACACTCCTTCACCTCGCCATACTTACAGAAGTACTCCTTCAGCCCCTCTGGGGCAAAAAAAAAAACAGAGAAGGAGGTGAAAATAAAACATAATCCGATGACTCAAGGAATTAGGCTAACATTTGAAATGAAAAGGTTTGGGAGGAGTTCAGAGTTTTTTTTAAAAGTACGTGCAGATACTTCAACTACGTTCGCATGAAATCTCGTAAAAATTTGTTTAAAAAAAACTTTATTTGATGTTAGAGAAAGAAAATCGTCGATCAACTTTGAAACAGATTTTTTTTTTCACCAAAAAAGTCAAGGCCAAAAAAAAAAAATACTTCACAGGAGGAAAAAAAACAGCACAAAAGTACAATTTAGTTAAAAATATTTAAAAAATAATCACTCTTTCTGCCCGGAAATAAATTAAAAAATTTTTTTAAAAAACATGAAAAAGTTTGGAGCTGAAAATCACAGCAGGAAACTTCGATTTGATTTTTTTTTTTTTACAAAATATTTTTTAAAAAAATCCTCAATATCGTATTTCCCAGGTGTGTGATTGGCTGAGAAAAGGGATTCTAGGACAGACGCTATCGTGTGTGTATCATGTGCTGTGACAGGTCTGGTCCCCGGACCCAAAAAAAATAAAAAAACTGGACACGCCTGGGCTGCAGGCGGAAACCTATAGTCCCACAGAGAGTTCTTTCAGCGAGGAACCCAGTCCCCGGAGCAACAGTTCCCGACTGAAGCAACTCAGGAAAAATAAATAAATAAAAATAAATAAAATCACTGATTTAAATATAATAAATAATTTAATTTATTTGGAGGGAAAAAAATTTTAAAAATCACCAAATTTTAAATCCTGAATTTTAAACGGGACGAAATTTTAAACTATTGTCGTAAAGTTCCAAAAAAAACTTTCCGACACGAAGAAGTAGCATTTTATGACCGGGAGATGGAGTGACACACACACTCACCTTGTGTCGTCTGCCAGCTGAGTCCTCCAATGAACATCTTGCTGTGGAGAAGTAGGAAACAAAGTCAGATCATCATTAAAGGAACATTACGGAACTTTTATTTTTTTTAAAACTCCAGTTTTCACAGGTGAACGGGTAAAAAAAAAGCTGCTGATGTGCGCGTGTCAACTTGAAGGCTCGCACAGTGTATAGAGCGTGCGTGTGTGGTCACGGTCCGCTCGCAGAATTACAGGTACGTGAACAACGGAGGTGCGAACGCGTAAAGAAACGAAAGGGTAAATGAAAAAAAGTAAATAAAAAAAAGTTTGTTCCGTTTCCGTTACCAGGGGTCGTGGGGTGAGTCTGCCGTGGGCAGGCTGCTCTGGCTGCCTTCTGTCTCCATTCCGTGTGTTCTCTCTCTGTGAGTGAGTGAGTGTGTGTGAGAGGAGATGGGCGGGTTTGGTCCAGGGTGACAGAGGGGAGCGGGGCCAGATGCAGCTGGGGCAAACTCCTCCTCCACCTCCGCCTCCTCCTCCTCTCTTTCTCCCTCACGTCTCCGCCGTAGCGGTGGTCTCTCTCTCTGTCTCTCTCTCAGTCAGCCAGTCAAAGCGGACATCATCTGAAGTCTGTTTCCCGCCGTCGCTTTTCAAAGTAAAAGCGCCGCCGAAAAAAATACAACAAAACCTTAAAAAGTTCTCAAACTACAGTACACAAATATCTGGTGATTCACGGGGAGGTTTTAAACCTTAGAGGAGACGAATATTTCGGGAATATAATGTAATATTTGGCCAAAATCTGTGAGAACCGCTGGTTAGCAGCATGTAGCTAAATGCTAAAAGCTAAACCAAACCGCCGAATAAAAATAATAATAATAAAGCCCCAGTCCTTAATGTATCTTCACACGTTAAAACAAACATCACAACCGGAGTTTTATCTGAACGGTTCAGTATTTACTATAAAATCTTGACGTAGGATTACAAACGGTATTATGCAGATTTGAATACAACGCACTTTTTTATGCTATGTAGCTTACCTATACAAAATCACATCGTATTAAACATACAGTTAGCATCGCTACAAACCCCGAAGAAGAAAAAAAAATCGCAAAACTCTGTGACGAACCTTCAGCCATTATTTTGAAGGCGACTTCCGGTCATAGTCTGAATCATTTCGACCAACTCGACGTGTCTTTCTACGCCTAAAAGTTGAAAAAAAAGAAAGAGACGACCCCCGTGTTGTGATTTCTTTATCACGAAACGTATCCGATAATTTATTTAGAAATATATTCACATTGTATTCTGAAAGGATGAAAGTCGGACGGTGACGAGCACGAAGTCTTTGAACTGAAAATAAAGTGTTAGTGTCACGTTTATAAAAAATTCGCGTGGAATTTAACGACATTTTAAAAACTCTTTCCGATAACGCACAAGTATTGTTGTTGTTTTTTTTTAATATTCTTTTTTTACTAGTGTGAGACGAGGCTG